AATAAATTCAATTAAGAAGGAACATGAAAAAAACAGAAATGTAATTTCTAATAGCATCTAAGTGTTGTTTACCTAAATTGAAACAAAATTTCAGATAAGTTCATAGAATTCTTCACAACTCTACACAGCACTGCAAACAGTGCTTAGAGTACTGCTAATGAAACATTAAAAAAAAACAGAATAACTTCTATTACTCCCAATTTTTGTTTAAACAATGTTTGTAAAGCACAGTTCTGCAGTTATAGCAAAATAAGCAAAAAATAAAAGTACTTTTTAAAGGGTGAACTGGCAATTAATGCAGAAGTATATTTGGCCTGAAAATCTGAAGGATTCTGATCACTCAAGGAGAGTCTGTTGATTGGGTGAAAGAGGAGAGAAAATATATCCAAGAATACGTGCAAAGAATAGCTCAGTCTTATCAGCCCATAAGTCTTCCCCTTGCTTTCTAAATCTAGAACATACCTTTTTTGAGTGTAAAGACCACTGAGTACTCATCATATCTTCAAAATTGCTAGGAAAACTACTAATTTCTTTTCCTGAGAACGGATTAAGCAAAAACACAGGGACACATTTAGATGGTGTTATTAATTCCCTACACAAAGCTAAAAATCTATCACTTTATTCTGAATTGAGAACAAATCAGAAAGCATGAGGTTCTCAGTTTTGGAGGAAATAGAATTAAAGTGATATGATTAACAATACTGAATAAAATGAAAAGAAAAAAAATCTTTGTAAAACTGGGTATACAGATCCTACATAAAAGCATAGTGAACACAACACTAAACTACCGAAATTTCCTGCCATGTGAAGGAAATGGAAGACTTGAGTTGTGCTCTTTGAAATAGGTTTTCCATTCAAATAAGCTCAGAACCTTCAAAAAAGCATGACAGACAGCATATCCCAAGGTGGTACGTAAACGATCACAACTTAAGACAGCACCCAACACTTACACACCTCTCAACTTGTAAGTGGTTCTGTTCACTAGGTCACGTAATGGGAGAGAAAGCCAAGAGAAGGAAGGACTACAGTACTGCTCGTGGCTTATGGAGATGCATGCTGTAAAAGAAGCTGAAGCATCAGACCACAGTATTAGAGCCACCACTACGGTGTTCAGGGGGATGAGGCAGAGATCATCAAGTCAAATAAATGAGGCAGGATTTATTACACACTTGTAGTCAATTATAAATCAAGTCTGCACTTCTGCTTTAATACTTCTGCATTAAAAATGGTCCACTTAATGAGAGTAGTCATTCTTTCCACTACTTTTGCTATGCTTTCAATCAATTTTCTTACTTTGTTTCATGTCTGTGTGAAAAAGAAACTTACTGTCTTGGAATTGCAGTTATGAAAATTTTCATCTGCACCATACTGAACCATCCTGAAGCTAAGTACTTCTTAGAAGAAGTATCTTTGTATCTTTGAGAAAAGAGCTAAGATACGGCTGTTAAAAAGTGTTTCTTGAAATCAGCAGATTTAATGATTGCTTTGGTTTGTCTCTTGCACTTTACCTCATCTAATATTTTACATTTGTTTTGTATTAGGAACATAGAGCATTCTTCTTTGTGAAAGAGATAGCTGGGAAGACTTCCTAAAAACCTTGGTTTTCTCTTTAGGTTATTGCAATACCTTCTACAGCAGTAGAAGTTATTCACATTGCATAGCCTCCTCTGTTGGACCGGACCACTGTATGTCAAATAAGCAACAATACTGGAATATTAATGCCACACTAATACTCATGTGTATAAAAGGTTCACACAGCATTGCCTTCCAATTTGAAAAAAAAAAAAGTTTGTCAAGGGAAGTCTTGATTGTGGAAAATTTTGCTTGTTGTCATAATAATACAGAGGTTATCTTACACAAACAATCAAGAGAACAATTAAACTCATAAAAAAAGTCCAGGTTTCAGTGTGATTCATGACTCCTGAAGTCAACTTTGAAATGACTACAAAGATTAGCAAATCCTCATTTTAAGTGTCATGCTAACTTGATCTCAATAAGGAATATTAAAACATCATTCAAATATAATGAAAAATTAAAATAGAAAATTTATATTCCCTGCCAACGAAATACATTAAATTTTTCTCTGAAACTCCAGACTATTAGCAGAAAAGCGGAATTTATTATGAGAACACACTTTTAAAAGCTCTTCTGTGTGAGATCCCAGCCCGATACAAAGGCTAAGAGGACAGGTATGTCATGTCATCGCAGCATGCAGTACTGCCCACTACTGCAGGAGGTCTATGATCTCCTTTTTAGCTCTGATAAATCCACAAATATTTAAAAATATATTAACTATATTCTTATAGTCGTTTATTCCATTTTATTGAACAATAATAGTTTCTCTCATTTTAGCTTGGCTCTACTGCAGCTTTTACCATTAAGTTTGGCGGACTTCAAAGCACATGAGTGTGGTCTGAACCATTCTCATGGAAAGAAACATAAATGCTCTCCCTAAACGATTTTTAACACAATTTACTGTTGTGGTGGCAAACATGTTTCAGTGTTCTTACAAAAGGTAATTTAAATGATCACAACATACATCAACAGCAAAAGGAATTGCCCTTGACACATAAATGCATTGTTGAAGCAACAGTTGAGAAATTGAGTTGTTTATTACTCATTAAACCTCACTTTGAATAAAACAGGTAGTGTAAAAAAAAAACAAAAGATGATTCATTCTCTCCTCTTGCTCAATTGACTGCATGGCTAGTTCTTGTTTCTTGGTACTACCTTGAACCGTAAAAACTCAATTGACAATTCCACTAGTATGCTTTAGCAAAAATTGACTATACACAAGATCTGACAACATTCTGCCTACTTGCCACAATGCTTCATAATAAACCAGCATCACAATACCTCCATCTTTTAAGAATACACCAAGATCGGAAAAACTTGAAGAAAAACTTTAAATATTGACTGCGTCACCATAAGAACATTTCAAGCACGGCAACAGAATGATGATATAAATTATGATACCACATCAACAAAAATACAATCCAAAGAACATATGAACAAGTAATGATGCTTTCATGTGCATTAAACTTCAGATGCAAGAACTACGTTTGAAAATGCATGCATGCACAGCTAGAAATCATGTTCCTTCTTTTTAGCCAGTAGCTACATGCTAGACTAAAAATATTTTTATGATTTCCTTAACTGGTGCAGACAGTACACAATGTTGAATCAACATGCCAAAACAAGACAATTCCTATACCAAAACAGCACCCTGAAAAAAGACATTTACAAGCATGGAGAAAGCTCCAGAATTGTAATTTTTTTCTCTTTTAACATTTCCTTTATCAAGGAACTTTCTGTTATATCCATTCTAAAGACAACAATTGATATGATTAACTATGAGTAAGAGGGAAAATAAACAAAAATTGTAAATGAAGTAATGTAAAAGAGTTATCAGATATTTCCAAAGATCCAAAACTATGAGAGGAAAGTTATCAGGTAAATAAAATAGAGTCCCAATTAAAACTAACATGAGACCATATCACAGTAACAGGTCTTACATTGCTATGGCAAGAAAAAAATTAAATATAAATATAAATTGAATGCAAAATTTTCTTGTCTACAGTCAAAATTACAAAATAAAAAGAAGAGAGAGCTCTTTCTTGATTGGTAAAAAGAAACAAATAGATGCTGCTCTTTCCTTTTCTAGTCCTAGCTTTTTCTATAGCAACCTTGTGTCAAACTTTGAACTTAAAAACAAGTTGTTGTTTTTTTTATGTTATTTGGCCCCAAATCAGTAAGTTAAAAATAATAGTATAAATGTAAAAAACTCCGTACCTCAGAAAAGCACTGTATGATTACACCAAATGAGCTTAATATGAAGAATTGTATATTACATAAAGTACAAAAGAAACAAAGTATACAAAGAGCCATAATACTGTTTATATTACAACTTAAATTAAATGCCTCAGTTTATTATCTGGGATAGTTTTCTACAAAATAGAATACAAAGGGGGACATAAGATTTTGCTCTGATGTTTCAAATTTTATCTTTATTCTTTGGGCAATAAAGTCAGATTAGCTTATACAGGGTTGTTTCTGAAAACAAGTATTTCTGCAGTAACTGAATTCCTTCCACAGAACTCTTTTTCTGCTCATGTGGATACCTAACATCTTAGTTATTTTATTGAAATTAGATGAGACTTCTGGTTAAGGAGATTTCTTCATATCACAGAAGAAATAATTTCACAAGTGTATCCTCTTTGTAAGCATATACCAGCCTTTCTGAGATCACAGTTGTATAACAATGTATTATAAATATCTACTTTGAATTCACACTAGCCTCAAAGCATTCCAAACAAATGCATTCAGCTTGATAACTGTATACTGTACTCAACTAGAATAATTTTGTATTTCCAATCATTCTGTAAGGATTCAATGCACAAACCCTTTAGAGTCAGCATATTTCATTTGGCATTGAATGGATACTAAAACGGATCTCTGAATGAATACTTCTCAGAAGTACGTAGTGCTATTTTTTACCACTTAATTACAAAACCATTACAGATTTACATTAGAAATACTTAAGCGACAAAAAAAAAAGTTTTGTTTTCAAACAACTCTGTTGGTTAATAAACTGAATTTCTGTTTCATTTTATAATTTACCCTTCCTCAGAATATGAGAAGCTGTACAGTGGAATGAAATTCTTCATGTTGAAATTAATAACCAGCTGCCACCAACTTCAATATGTCAGAACTGATTTGCTGTCTCTCTGGACTGTATTACTTAGCTTTTTTCCTTTCACCTTGCCACGCTATAGCCATAAAAGAATGTAACAAACCTATTACAACTGAAAAATTAGCGTAAAATAAAATATTTTATATATATCGAATTTGCATTTCTGAATTATTCTGTTAGGTTTAATTTCATTACTGCTCTGAAATTAATATGAATATCACTAAAAAAAATCCAAAGTGCTTAGTTGCTCGACCTCTCTAATTATTTAAGATTGCAATTTAAGGTGAGGGGGGGAACAGGAACTTACCTACTTGGCACTTTGGGTAATAAGCTGCCATTTGTCCACTATTGTATGATTGTCTCTTATGCCTTTTTCTTACATTTGTATCAGTGGTCTCCCATTGTGGACTTTTTCTTTTGTTTATTCTGATAAGAACTTCAGAACTACCAGCAGCATTATCATCATGGTTTACAACACTACTTAATTCTCTGCTGTGAAACTGGTCATCCAGTCTTTCAGTCACTTTAGAAGAATTAGATCCTTTAGGTGTTTCCATTTCATTCTCTTGTTTCTTTAATGTGTTTTGCTTAGTAGAATGGGACCTCAAAAGAGGGTGTCTTTTTTCTTCCAAATAGGCCTGATGGCTTTTACTTTCAACAGCTTCAGGAGAATAAATGACATTATTTAATTTAAACGAATTGTGCTGCTCAATATGGTTGATTTTTCTCAGAAATATTCTACAATCTTTAAAGGTTTTGGCTTTCCATGTATTTGGAAACAGTTTATCTTGGCTTTGTCCTTTTCTAACATTTTGTTGGCAACAAATTGTTCCATTTGTCTCTGCATGTGACTTAAGTATACTTGCTAAACCGGGATGTGGGTTAAAATCAGAAGATCCCATCATCTGTTGAACAAATGCATCTCTGGCTTCATTCTCAGTTGGCAAGAGGCTACTCTGAGATTCTACCAAAGTTTGAGTGGGCTGGATTTCTACTGTATTTTTTTCCTGGAGCACAGGCATTCCATCACTGCTTTCCTCACTTGTACTTTTAAACAACTGGCTTTGGCAAAAAAACTGTAAATTTTTCTTTTTTGATTTCCAGCCTCCAGGAGCCTGGCTATACAGCTTTTTTTTTGGTTGTCCCCACCTATCATGCTGTAACTTTTTAAATTCATTTCTTTTCAATCTGGCTAATGCAAAATTACTTTTCATGCTTAAGACTGGAGACCTCACCATATTATGTAATATTTGTAATTTCCCTGCGGGTTTTGAAGGAGAGGATAGTGCAAACTTTTTAAAGTGCTTTCTGAAAAGGCAAGTACTAAGATCAGATTGCTTAGTTTCCATCTTTATCTCTCTAGTACTAACTACTTCTAAAGGATTGCGAGCATTTGCCTTTCTCACTAGTGAGAGAGACTGTGTTTCTGTAGTTTGCATAAACCAGGTGCAGAGTTCATTCATGTTACACTTTTTCTGAAACAGCATTTTTATAGGTGATGTTTCAATTTCTACAAGGCAGGAGTCTAAAGGGTTTGACATTTCACTGTTACAGTCTTGTTCAGTGGGATCCCTGTTTTCACATACACATTTATCAAACTCATTTCCCCCCACTCGCAACCAGGTATTAGTTATCTGTTCAAATCTATTATTTAGTTCTTCCATCAAAGTGTCACTTGAAGCGGAAGTAGCCCACCACCTGAGAGAAGGCTTTGATGAAAAAATGGGATCCGATGATACATCATTAATGGGCCCAAAATCACTGTCCCCAAAATTCTTTTCTGAATTTTCTGAATTTCTCATTTCTGAGGTATCTGTGGATGTTATGCTCTGATTTGATTGCCTGCGTTTTTCCTTTTGATCTTTAGCTTTTCTCAAATGGAGTTTGTAAGATTTATGCAGCAAGGCACTTCTACAAGTAAATGCACTAGAGGATGCTAATGAATGTAAGAAATGCAATGAGGGCTTTCTGTCTCTAACAGAGTGTCTCAATGGAATCTCGCGTTTTCTTGACACTGTTGTAATAACACTGTTTGATCCATCTTCTCTAGAATCTTTCTGCATACTCTTTACTTGACTCATATTATTGCACAGCTGATTGTTTTTCTCCTGTGATATGCTTTTTTCTAATAAGTTCTGCTGTTGTAAAGGAGGCAAACAGTTGCTAATGCTCACTTTTCTTTCCTGAGGTGAAACTCTATTAACAGTCACAGATATGCCAGAGATTTTTACTTTTGCTGGCCGACCAGGTTTTCGAATGGCAGTTAACGGTTTCTTAACTGGCCGTATAATATTGCTGCAAGGATGTGGTGATGCCAGGTTGCTCTTGATAGGTCTAACATAGTCATAACCAGAGACCTCATTTTCAGTAGAAGAATTCTGCAAGGCTTTCACTATTTCAGTCAAAGCATTTTCAGTTTCTGTGCTATGCCTCACTTTGCCGTGGTCATTGGCAAAACTGAAGTCTACCTGTTCTCTGGGCAGAGTACTGATTACATTTAGATTACCTTCAGAAACATGTCTTTTAGTTCTTCTTGACCTTCCAAAAACAACCGTCACAGTGATATTTTTGTTGCTATTAACTTCTTCCATTACTGATGCATCAGATTTGGTACTTTTACCATCACTGTTGAGTTCAGCTCTACATTCTCTCCTTTCAGTTATATCTACTTTTGGTTTTGGAGGCCGCCCAATAGGTCTCTTAACCTGCTTAACAACTTGAGGACCTATTTTCTTTGGTCTACCAGGCTTTCTTTTTAAAACAGATTCACCACTATTGCTTGATTTATCCACAATTTCATTTTGTTTTGAGTCACTTAAGTTAGTTTGACCAACTGCACAGGAGCTTGTAATTGCTTCCGCACAAACACAGCTTGATTCCTCCTTGGCACTGTTTTCAAAATCATTGACACAGATTGCATGAGAAAGATTTTCTGTGGCCTGTTTGTCTAACACAGTGCTTGTGTACCCCTGAAACGAACAAACATCTGTGCTTCCTTTAGCAGACGTAGTTGCAGATGTCAGAGTATATTTGATGCCTTCACTGCTGTTAACCTCTGAGACAAACATAAGCTTAATGGGACTTGAGTAGCTTAAGAAAGATGGTATTTCCCTAGCTCCAGAAGTTGTATGCAAGGCCTCATTGCTGGATGCAGAATTAGATGAATCAATGCTCAGAGACTTCAAAAGGCTGTCATTAATTTCTTGATCTATAACCATTTCTTGCTTGCTTGTTGTCACACACAGAGTTTTGTTTTTATTGCTGTTTGACAAACGTGAATGTGGAAGGAAGCTTTGTCCTGTGTATTCCATTTCATCTGCACTGAAAGGGAAGTCACTTTTAGCAAGTGGGTTCATAACCTGTTCGTAAGCATTATCTTTTACTTTTTGGCTTATTTTGTAACTATTCAACCATGAGCTGTTAGACTTTTTAGCTAAGTTAATTGTATCTTCTAAACGCTCTACGACAACTTGCAGATTCGTGTCTCTCACAATTTTGTTTATATTTACATCACTGCATCTTTCAGCATGAACATCTTCATTTATTTGCATTTTTTCCAAACATTCCAACGACTTCTTTGCATCAGATGATTTTCTGAATACAATGTTGTTTGTTACGTACACAGAGTACCATCCAGGAGGCACAATGTTGCGTTTAGTTCTGCCTGGGGTTCCGTTACTCTCCCCATGCAAAGGAAGCTGATCAGTCTCTTTTAGAGTTGCAAAATCTCCTTGAGTTTTTGCAGATTTAGCCTGGTTGGCTGCAAAAGCACTGTCTTCTGAAAGAACTAGAAAGTCAGAGCTGGTTTGAAAATTAGTAAGAGGTAGTTTGAAAGACTCTGTTTGGTGTACTGGAAAACATACTTGTTTGGTATGGCAATTCATACAAGGATTACTTTCAAGACATTGCAAATCTTTATCTTCTATCACAGTTAACCTGTGCCTTTTGTTTGGGTATATCTTATCAAAATTCTTTGCAGATTTCTTTGCATTTCTCTCAGAAATTGACTTTTTTCTTACAAGAGTTTCATCAAGGCTTGCAAGCTGCCTCTTGATTTGCAAAGACTGTCGTCGAATATACGGTGAATCAGGAGAATTGTACATTGCAAATAAAGTTTCCTGACGCTTCCGAAATCTTGTTTGGATTATTTTATTTTCCATTTGCTTATCATGTTGGCGAAGTAATTCCATAAAACTATAATCACTTGCCTTAGCATTATGCAAAAGGGAGGTTATAAAGTCTCCTAATTTTACATCGTTTTCTGGTGCCCTGTCAATGCTAGAAAATTTTACAAGATTTGCTGCTATGTCTGTAGTGTCTATTGATTTTAACTTCTCATTAATACGGTCCATTAAATCTTGGAAAATGGCATAATGTTCACCTTTCTCAGCTTTCTCAGAATTCATGTAATTGTTGTCTTCTTCATCTATTGACTGCAGTGTTCCAGCTGAATATTCAGTCACTTTTTCTCCACATGTTTTGTTTTCATATTCAAATTCTCCATTGCTTCCTTCAGCTGGCAATAGGTATGGAGGCTGGTTGATGGATATTTCAGGCTTGTTATTGTCTAAAATTGGAAAATCCATAATTGATCCTTCCACTGTCTCAAATTCTTTATTCTGCACAGGTGACAGTGGTGGTGGTGATGGGCTGCGAGATCTACTTGCATTTTTAATGCTGTTTAATAGATCACAGTCCTTAACTGAAGATGCACATGCTACTGCTTTCACAGAATGCTTGGTAGAATTTTGCAACTGTTCAGCACAATACTTATGAGAACTACATGCTTTGTTCACCATGGTCTTAATACATCCAATCGCTACAGCTTGGCATGACAAAGAATGGAAATCTTTAATACAAATAGGCAGAGGTGGTAAATAAGTGTTTGGTATTTGATTTTGTAAACAGCAACTTTTTGTTATCATATGTCCTTTGCAATTGCAAAATGAAACATGAACATCTTCTTCAGTAAGGAAACTGGGAGTTTCAGAGTGGACTGAATATGTTTGTTTGCAACTGCAAACTATAGGAACACTTTCATCTTGCATTAAAAATTTTAACATAGCCAAAGTCTGTTGCCAGTGATATGAACAAAAAGACTCCAAAACTTTGTTTAATGCTGATTTTCCTTTTTCCAAACTAGTAGTTTCCTCTGAATTTGCATCAGCTGTTGAGCTTGAACTGAAAATGAAAACAAATCAAAACAAAACATAAATTACAGTAAAACACCACATCTACTGTTTGTTACAATGGCTAAGCTTGAAACTAAAAACCTGAAGTTTGCAAAACAGTTCTGTTCTATTTGCACAACTCTCTCAAACTTGCAAGTTTCACTAGAAATGATGTGCATCTTATATGTAGCTGTGGTAATCCTACCACAAGAAGAAAAACAATCAGAACTATGGAACATAAAGAATAGCTCAAAACACAACTTCTTGTATTTAAATGTAATTAAGCAGTGTTAACTTCCTGATGTTTGAGATCACCATGAACCTGGGGGCTCAGTGCTACTGCCATTTCACAAACTGAGCAGTTGAAGCACAGAAAGGGATGATAAATGACTTGCCTAAGGTCACAAATCAAGCTTGTGGCTGAGGCAAGAATGGATCCATTTCTCCTGAGAAACCTCCTAAGATATTCACGTACCAAAACACATCGAATGCTCTTAGGATAGTCATTAAATATTCTTTTAATGACAGGGTTTTCTCCATCTTTCTAGAACAATTAATCTTAATAGGCTCATAGAAAATTTTAAAAGTAGCCATTTGCTACTGTTACTGTTCTTTTCAGATAAAAATTTTCCTTCTGGTATTTAAATAAACTGTAGTGGTGCACCAAGGGCTCTTCAATATGTTACACACACACATATGCACACACACAGATTCCTTCCTTATACAGAGAGAGATAATCACCGCTGGAATAAGGAACTGCTCTGACAAAAGTTAATATCTGTTACATCTCAAATACAGGGTAGGTCTATATCTGAGAAAGACTTCTGAGCAGTTATACTCAATATATTAACTCAAAATAAAATCACTCATGAAACACTACCTTAACTATTTAATTCATTCTTTATCAATTATTAAAACTAATGTCACTACTTACCTAATCAATCATTTATACTGAAAAGCTGAAATTTTCCATGGTAGAAATTAGTACAAATATTTCTTCATTTAAATAAAAATTGGATAGCGACTATCACCAGATAGTTAATACCTAATTCAAATGTTTTACTGAAACCAATTGCATGACCAGAAAATATTAGAAGAATTCTGTTTTAGAAAAGTATGTATTGTTTAAACATATCACCAAACTCTGAACATGACACTAACTTTTTGATCTAATACTATTTCGCTTAACTTTTTGCATTTAAGCCTGAACTTTGGAATAACTTAATTTTGTTTGGTATTATAATTGTTTTGAATAAGGAACAGACATTATTTAAACATACTATATTTATATAAAAGTTACCTATTTTTTTTAATTAGCTCATACTCAATGTTATTAACATCAGTAACTTTCAGCTTCAGGTTTCTTAACAGAAATTATGCATGCAAATTTGTAGTTTTATTGTCCCCCATTTATAGTTCAGAGCTTTAAAACAGCCAACTATGCATAGTAATTCCTTATGTTCTCTCCTTCTCTTGGAATATTTACTATGAAATGGAATATATTGAAGATCAATGAGTAGATAATATTGGTAACTCATAGAAGTCTAAGATAATAGTGATACTAGTAATTCAAATTGCAATTATGTTTAAATCAGAGGCATAAAAATATTAAACCCCTCGTTGCACTTGCAATCTAAAATAAAAACATTCAAGGACACTATGTCAGGATTTAAATGATTTTGAAACACCTCTGCACTGAAGAGTTAGAACATTACTTCTAGTTCCATCTTATTAGAGATCATCCTACGAATTCAGGAGTCACAAGATCTTGAAATATATAACCATGTTTGTGAAAATAAAGCATATTCTTATAAAAACAGTTACAGGTAAAAATTGCCCTACCCATCACCAGGAATTTAAAGAAACAATGTATCAAAAAGCTAAACAGAAGTGAAAAAAAACCAAACAAACACACCACTAGGCCATGGATATTTTGTTTGTAAATCACAGTAGATTTGTTACATACTAATTTGCAAACTGAAGGGTGCAGCACAGTATTTTATAGACTGTCTTTTCAGGTTTGCAAGTTCTGCCTGAGTTTCACTAGAGATCTTTTAATGGAGATTGCTTGTACTCATAATGTGAGTAATTGCTATTTCAGATATTTCACTGGTGGAAGAAACTTCCAGAACCCTAAAACTTTCTCAAAGTCAATAATCACACTTTCCAAAGGCCTCAAAATGGCTCTGAATTTGCCACGTTGAGATCAATCTATCAAAAAGTAACATACTGCACACCCTCCTAATATTCCTTCTTTCCCAGCTACCTAACCTTGTGCGAAACAACTACAAACCACTCTCCTTTCACGCGTGTTAGTTTCTGACAGACAACTTCACCTACTGTAAAATGCTACCATGCTCCAAATGATCTCTGTTTCTGGAAATGCAGCAACCCCAGCCTTGGTCAGCATTTGGGAGCAGAGCTCATTCTGCTTTAAAGCAACACATTTGTTTGAAGAGAATCTTTGTCTGTAGAGATGTCCACATATTCAAACAAACTAATGTAAATAGCTTTTCATTGCAATTATGGAACTGTATTTCAGTTTTCTATAATTCCTTTAGTTCTTCCATAGAGCCATTTAAATTTGCATTGCCATGCAGCAGCTTTAGAATTAATTCCATAGAAGGAAGAATGAGCTATTTTGCAACTGCACACTTCCTTTACAGAACTGCCTTACACATCTTAGAAATAAGCCAAAAAATAAAAAATAAAAAAATAAGGCCAGCAAGAGTGGGTAAGAAATGAAGAGGCTTAAGGGGGAAAGGAGGAAGGGATTAATACCTGCTGCACCCCTGCTCCCTTTTGTGCCCAAAATCTCTGAAGAAAAAAGTGAGGCATGGAACTACGCTATCTCCCTGCTGGAGGGGAGGGTCATTTAATGCCATAGATTAACAATTGACTGGAGTCTAAAACTGGCTCAAAGGCAGAGATGTTATCAGGCTAAGAACTAGACTTTCGGTCTATTATTTTAGATATAACTATTTCTCCTCATAAACTCTCAGGAAAAAGTGCTATTAGAGGACTTCCAAAAGACTTCCTTTCCTAAAGTTCTGTCTTCTGATTTCTCAGGCACAGGAAGAAGGAGAAACCTAGCAATGTCTTGGAAGACTGAGAAGAGGAACAGAATGGGAATATAACACATTTGCAAATACTCATATGGAACACAGAACTCCTACAGAAACAAATGTGTACTTACTTTACATGTTTGTTTTCTAGCTTTACTAAGAAAACATGTTTACCTAAAAAAAGCTGTATTTTAACTATATTATTAGTAAAATTCAGTTCCATTTTATGAGTCTACATAGTTTTTGATAATTTGCAGCTGCAAACTAATTTCATATTCAGATTCTTTGGCTTTCTGAAATTCTTCTCATTAATGAATAATACATCAATTCTAAGCAGTCACCCTTCCTGAAAGCTACTATGTCTGCTATATAAAAGTCTCAGAGTAAACTATCCATTAAATGCTTAATCTGTACAGGTCTTGCTCTTAATCCACTAATAAATGTATTCCTCAGGAGTAAGTCAAATGAGTCAGCGTACAGGTTTTTCATTTCTTTTTCTTTTTTTTTCTTTTTTTTTTTCTTTTTTTTACTGAATGAGCAAATCAATCACACATCAGTGTTGTAAATTTATGTGCAAAAGCATTGAAGTGCTTTACTACAAATTACAACGTAGAAACACGTTAACTAAACAATTAAATTCATACAATTAGATTTAGGAATATAACAACACAAAGAAGAAACAGAATTACAGTACATTTACAACACAAGACAAATACATGGAATTCATTAGAAAATATTGTAATAAATAATTCATGAATTATAGTGCAATTGATTTATGCATAAATATAACTAATTGCCTAAAAATCAGTTGTTAACAAAAATCTGTCAAAAATCAAGGCAGCCACAGAGTTTTACTAAATTACTGCAACAATGGAAATACTGCAATTAAAAAACAAATACAAGTATTTGTACTGTAAACAACTAAAAAATCAGTCTCACTAAAGTTAATATACAATTTAATATAAAATTGTCATTAGCTACCAGAAATGGTTTAAACAGCTTTACTGAGCAGTAGTTCTAAAAACAGAGGCACTGTTTTTTAATATAAAATACTTGAGAAACATTCAAATAAGTAGAAAGCATGTAGGGCTTGCTTTCGCCTTCATTTAAAATTCTGCTGAAACATGGATTTTCAGAAATTGTCAATTACTAAGTAGTGACTGATAACAGAATTTATAAAACAGTTCAAAGTGTGTAATTTAAGTGACATTTAGTGGAGTCATAGGGGTTGGGGAAGGAGAATCTACATATTTCCCTGCCTTTCCTTAGTTGTGTAATCAAAGGTTAGCCTAATAATTAGAAACAAATAATTCTGTTCCTTTAAACACTTACAGGTTGAGTATCATCTATAAACTATCAAAAAATATTTTAATATACTATTTCTGACCAAAAAATAAATACAAGTACTAAAATGTTGAAAATTAATTATAATATTACATACAAAACTACTGAGTACTGTTAAGTCAATAGTAAAATGATCCCTGATTTTATGAATCCTGTTAAATTTTTGGTCAGGTCACCTTCTAAACAATATAAAAAGAGTACTGTAACTTGCCTTCAATATAAACTTCAGGCTCAAATTTATAACGTTGTCTGAGGAGTAGAAAACATCAACATGGTACAAACGTTCGGCAACGTACTGAAATCCCAAAGTTTTGCAAGTAAAACAGATCTTGAATGTTTAACGTATTTTTAAACTTCACTTTCCAGTGGGGATGCATTAACAATTTAATTCTTCTGGCCCTCACAAAATATGGCTTAATTCTTTTAAAATGAAAGATGACCCTGACACCTGCTGTTTTTGACCTTGTTATCAGGTACAGTTCTGCTTAAAAAAGGATTCATTTTGAAATATGCAAGTAAACCTTAACCACTGAAGATTCAGTATAGATCTTGGAGACCAAAAATGTCATACACTGCTTTTGCAGTTTCACTTAAATTCTTACGGATTACTCTATTTTAAAGTGTAAGCTCTTATTTTTCAGTAAGGTTAATAAATATGAACTAGATTTTGCCACTAAACTTGCAAGTATGCTTTCCAGTGACTTTAACGGCAAATTCATTTAAAAATCAAGTTACCTGATGTAGCTCATGTGTATCTAATGTCCCCTTTCTTTTTTTTTTTTAATAATGAACCTATACCTACATACGAAAATTTAAGTGCGAGAGAAAAAATGGACAATCTATGTATGCATGTGCACCAAATGTATAAAAGTTGGAGAAAAGTCTTTTCCTATCCCAAATTAATGCATACAGACATAATAACATTTTGAGAGGAAAAGGGCATTTATGTTCTGTATCGAATATATGAAGCAAGTCCCTGCTCTTCATATGCAGACATGTACTTAGTGATAGTCCATGAAAAAATTAAGATATAAAGTCCAGTGTGAATACTTTGAAATCCATTTAAAAACTGTAATACGAAAGTAATTGGTCTCCCTTGTAGTCTACTAAAAGTTACGTATTTAAAGTGAACTGCCTAACTTCTAACTACCAAATTTATAAAGAATTTATATTATTGAAAGTTTTAAAACAGCTTCACTGTTTAATATTTGTATTTCTATCAAGACCCTGAACTGCAAATTTGGTTATTAGCAAAATGATAATGTAACTTGGTATTCATTTTGATAAACTGAAAATGTTCTGAAATGTCACAGCAGCAAATACATTACAGTTACAGTGAGGTTATTCAATAGGAGTGTGACACAATCCTTAAATAAATTTTAAGTAGTCATAACATCAACTAACCAGCACGTTTAAACAAAACAAAACAAGAAGAAAACAAAACAAAAAACCATTCTCAAGCTCATTCTGTGCGCATTATGAACACGCTCTAAGATGCATTTCAACTTTCTTTTGAAACCTTATAGGTCATCTTATTTTTCAAAATAAAAAGGAAAATTATGATAAGGATTAAATTATGTTATGCTCTTAAGTATTCCATCTTATTTCATATTTAATAATTCTATAACTACAGTAATTTCTCGGGTTTCATAAGTGTACACTTTGTAAACACCAATTTCTTTCTAAACCACCAACAAAATTTTTTTTAAATGATAAAAAATGCAGTTTATGCCTGCTAACACACATTTTTAGTAATGAAATGTTTCTTTCTTACTTGTATTGGATATTTAAGTAACGATTAACTTTTGTTTTTCTTTCACAGAATGTACTATAACCTACTAATACTTCACAAATTCACTCCCTGGTAAGGAACTAGCTTTTTAAAAAAATCCCTTGATTTGTATAATCTGAGTTACTTACAATTTATTGCAAGTATTCTGTGAAGTTTGTAAGTTTGCTAACCATAGATCGTGTATTTCTGTAATAAGATGGTTTGTTGAATGGGTAGAGTGGTTCTTCATCAATTAAAAATTATGCTTCACATGACAAATACTCGTTCGCCCAAAACATTTTTATGCTATTGACTACTAAATAAAACCTGAATCTTTTCACCTATTTATACAAGGATTATATTAAATACACACTATCAGAATTAAGTGAGGAACTCTATAATTCTGTCCACAGTGAAAACCCTGAATAAAACTATTTTTCAAAAGGCATGTATGTGGTTTTTGAACTGTATCATTTCACGTCTCCTGTCAGAGTGAACATATGTATTTCTCACACTGTGTGTGTATACAGACATACATACACACACACACACACACAAAACAATTTGCTAACAATTATTCTACACAGGCTTGCTACTGGTTTTGCAGCTGCCAGTCCCTGAATCTGTCATATTAAATAAGCCAGTGTCTGGTAAACGGAGTTTCTTCTTCGGCGGAGTCTTCAATGTTCCAGATCTTTCTTTTACTTTATATTCTAAAGTGCTGTGAGGTACCCCATAAATTCCTTGTGCTTTGGAAACACTCATTTTCCCACTCATTACCATTGCAATTGCTTCTTCCATTATTTCATGATCATACTGCCGATAGCGGCCACGTTTTTTTCTCGGCTGCTTATTATCTTTACGATCCAAACTATCTTCTGTATTTTCTGAGGTTCCATCTACCGTCCCATTCTTAGCATTAAGACACAAAGGAGAGAGGTCCCCATGCAGAAAGTAGGAATCAACACTTGAGTGAGTTACAGGTCCAGAACATTCAATTTTGTTCTGTTTAGGGAGTATATTTTTCAATTTTTGAAGAGCTGATCCTTCTAAGACTGAGGAGGTTTTAGAAACGTGGTACATAACATCCAGAAGACCAGCAGTATCAGACTGTGGTTTGGACACAGAACTTATTCTTAGCTGAGGAATTTTTAATTGTACAGTAGGATTCGTAGTTTCATATTGGAGATTTTCATTTTTTTCTTTAAATTGTGTGACCATTCTCTGCAGAGTTAATTGGTGGAGGTAACTGGAAGCTGTTGGGAATTTTAATTCTGAGGTTTCAAGTAGACTGAGTTTACTTTTTTCTGTGCGCTCTGCTTGAGCTCTTGCCCACAAGGCTACTTTTTGTAGGACTGCACAAGTTTCTTTACTGTCTTTAAATGAATAACTATCATTGAAATCTCGAGTTTTGTTTTTAAAAGGTGCAGGCTTTCCTGCTGGTAAGGCTTCTAAGTGGAGAAGTAAAGTTTTTTGAGGTATGCCATAAAGTATGCCTGCTTTATTTATGTCCAGTGCTCCAGACTGAATGTCTTTCAAAGCTTTTGAGAGCAAACCATCTGCAAACTCAGCACTTCTTTCCACATAGTCCTCTCTGTGTCTGTGTAGTCTCCTGGATGGATGGAATGAAACGATGGTAAACTGATGTATGAGAGACTCTCACACAGCTATGGAAGGGAAGGGTCCACTCCTTTATTATACTCCTTGCTTCGGTAACATCACTGCTTCTGATACTTTTAAGCCTTTGAGATGCGGTAGTTAAATGATTATCCTAGCAAAATGTTACAGTTCTGGTAGGACAGTGCATCAAAAATCATACGGTGGCTTCTACAGCAGCCCTTCCAAGAACTTTATATCCTATCTCAGTATTTGGTAATATTCTCATGTGCTTGCTATATTCCCTTGTTCACATGCTTGCAGAGCAACACTGTTATAATTTTAATTATACAATTAACGTTCCATTAAATACCCAAATCCTGAAGGAGTTTTTGTTAGTAGAAACGTGACGTTACCGCTAAACAAGTAATAAAAGAGTCAACCCCCTCATAGAAAATTTGCAGCAATAAGTACATACTACACACAAACATCCCAGACTTACACAAACTAGGCTTTCTACAACCATAAGGTAAAGTGTCATAGTTAACAATCAAGTCCATTTTGGCAAAATGAAACACAGTTTTATAAACTTCTAGCCACTACTTACAGCTAATTACAAAGTCATATCAATTTTTAAAGCTTCTTCATATCAGCAAATTAATAAAATGCATTTTACACCATCCAACAAGTACTGCTATTGTATTCCTATTTGTAGTAAGTTACTCTGTAAGACGTACAGGTGACAAAAAGGGTCCTGCTATGGCTAGTGGATGGGAGGATGCCAAAATCATAACAAAATCCAACAAAACAATGCGCTTCTCTAGATTTGTGGTAGCTTGCAGCAGAGGCAACGTTTTTCTTGCTGGATAAGAAATTTAACTATTTGCCACCACATACCATAGCCAGAACTATGATGCAAGTATAAATATGATGATTAAGAGCTCTCTCTCTCTCGCGCGCATTCTCTTGCTCATATTAAGGAGTATTAGAAATAATAGTCATTTAACTTGTTCATGTTAGTTGAAGAATATTTTAAATCTAAATATTAACGTGCTTCTTTTTTTGTCAAAAACTGCAGATTCCTAAGTGAACTCTGAAAGAATAAATTTGCATTCTCTTCTACTATCCTACTACTTTCATTGTGTCTACATAATCAATTTTCAGTTCATTTTTAGTAACATGAACTAAAGTTTGGTGATTGTTCTGATAACTTTTCTTTAAACAGAAAAAAATAAAAAAGACGAATGAAACATATGATATATACATAGACACACACTTATGAGTGACACAAATTCTTTTGAAAGAAAAATATAAACCACACGTGTGTGTCAGTATATACTAATATGTTATGAACGTAAAACCTGACTTCAGAGAAGTAAGAGTAAACTCGATTTTCTTTTACATAAGCCAAAGAGAGTCCTAAAAGTTGCTTACCCAGACACCGAGTTTTCAGAACACAAGGGATCGTATTTTGGCTCTTCCAACCTTGCGCTTTTCTTTGTAGAGAGATCTAACACTCCATCCCCTGCAAAGAACAGTGATGCAAAGAGTAGTCATGACAGCAGTTTAAGGATTATCTCAGACATTTTTTTTACCAATTGTTTGTACCTACGTAACAATTTTTAAGCAGTTAAATTTATCCCATAAAATTTCTGACGCCTTTTTTTTTTCCACAGTATCAGCTGTCTGTAAATAGTTTTGGATGATTTATAGTAAAATTGTCTAAAATTAAGAAAGAAAAACAAAAACTCATACAGAAATAACAAAATTTAAAAGAAGAATCTGTTTTAAGCAGAAACATGAGACATTTCCTAAAAACCATGTATGCATGGACACTGCACTGTTTACTTCCAAGGCAATGAGCTTCATATTATTTTGTATACACATACTGCAAACAAATCTGATAATGAAATTAAAATGGACCTAATTAAATCATAGATTTACAGAATCATTCAGGCTAGAACAGTACTCAGGAGATCTCTAGACCAATCTCCTGTTCTGAGATCAGATCAGGCTACTGGATGAGAAAGGAAAAGTAGTAGTATCCCCACCAATGGGGAGAAAGAGAGCTCAAGCCATGTTTTCAGTATATGGGACCTATGTCATTAAAAGTTCCAGCTGTTTACACATACACACCTGCTGCCCCCACACAGACGTAATAATGTGTCTACAGAACTAGAAAGACCTAAGACCTGGGGTGAGAATTAACTCTGTAAAGACACTGGCAAATGTTATGTTCAAAATCTATAGCTGGACATTGAGACTTATCAAGTATTGAAAAAGAAAACTGTATTTTAAATCAACACTTAGTAACATTGAAAATTGGCAAATCTCTTCATTAGCTGAAAATTTCTAATTATTGCTTAGGTTGCTTTTTTCGGCTTTTATTTTTAAACCACATTTAATGTAAAGATAAATCCCTTAAACATATTTACCTGACTTCCTTGATTCTCTGTTTCAAACTTGGGCTGGTTGTGAGTCTGAGCTCTATGAACCTAATGTTGAGTTTCAACACTCACAAGCAATGTCACTGCTTGTCCTTCTTACAGTAGTATCATTTTTATGTTATTACATGTTATTTCTAAAATATCAACCAATTGCATATGTTTTCCCATAGCTTTGGATGTACAACATGAAACACTGGTTGAATTTCCCAAATGCCAGCACTCAAACGAGAATTCAGAAAAATTCTTAGGTTAACTCTGCTGTATTACCCATACTACTAAAAAAAATAGAGTTTTGTGAAGGAAGTAAATACAGCTATTTGTTTTGGTCTGCTTAAAACAGCTTTTGACTGTTTTTGCCAAACAATTTTATGTTGGAAAAAAGAGAAAAATTAGCATTGTAGATCAGGGGAAAGAATATTTATAAATACGCTACTTTTCAAGGTGTCCCTTTCCTCCTAAGCTTGTTCTCTGCAAAGCCTTTCTTAAACCGTAGGGATTGTAAAGGAAGCACTATAGTTAATGCTAATTCAAGCTTTCTGAAGCAGTAATGTTTCAGAAGGAAAAGCCAATTAAAATCACAGGAGAAATATTCTGCAGGGACTTATCCAGCCTACCCAGCTGTAAAATATTCCCAACTCCTGTGCAACAGACAGATCTCATCTGTTGTGTACTGCTAATGATCGAATCTTTGTTAGCCTTTGTTTGTGCATTTGCTTTTGTAATTTCCACCTTCAGATAATTGACAGTCACAGGCAGCATGACATGAAATGCTTAGAAGAGATCACTGGACAAAATCACTAGAAAATATACCTCAGAAAACTACCTCAAAGTTTACAACTCATCAGGTTGCAAAGAGTTAATCATTAGATCACTATCACTTGACTATTAAGTACAAAAGAACACCAGGAATAGATTAAAATCAAAACAAACAGCAAAATGAAAACATGCTCCGAGATACAGGGCTGAAAAAAACAAATTAACCTCTAACTAAAATAGAATGTTTCGCTAAAGACTTCGGAATATCAAGATAACCAACTTGAATGGCTCTGTCTAATCAACGTACAAAGGAATTGAAGCTAACAAGACTCTTAAAGAAAAAGTCAAAGGCTCTGGAAAGATTCCATGACAAAGTCTGAACAGATCATATCATTTTTATCTCCTGTTTTTCATAGGTGCCTCTGACAACAAAAGCCCTCAGCAAGCTGTAAAAATCACTAAAAAGAGCACAGTACTGAAAATATACTGCTGTGGCAAGAAAATTAGATAGATTTTGAGCCTTTAAAAGGTAAGCAGACTGAATAATCATTTCAGGTTCAAGATAGCTGAATATCCCACACAGAAAATGCAAGTATTAAATATGTGTATTGCACATCCCTGAAGACTATGTCCTATCACTACCATAGAATCACTCAGGTTGGAAAAGCCCTTAAAGATCATCGAAAGGCGATCCTCAGCAAGAAGAGTGAAAGAGAATTGTGAGAGATTTGATATGTGCACAAAAGACGGGTAAAGTCATCACTGACTGGGTTCAGCAAGATTATTTTCTCAGCTTAACAAAATTTTTCTTCTGATGTGCTGTTCACACATACTCTAATAATTTTATGCACATTATCTCCTGCATGACAAACAGGAAATCTGTTAGAAAAGCAGTGCCCCTTGAGATCATGCTCCTTCCCTGGTACATTACTGAAAACACAAAGAATGGAGCAGATGCAACTCATCCTTCAGCTATCGCACTAATATGGGGCCCAAAGCACACAGTTTTCTAGTACTGAAGAACAAAAACCATATTATACAGGTGAACAGTGAACCTTGAAAACCTAAATTACTAATTAAAAAGGTAGGAATGGTACCTTTTAAACCAAAACAGCATTTTCTATTATTTCTGCATTTTCTATTATTTTATCGAATCACTCAAACCAGATGATTTAGTCAAGAATTCTAGACAGGAAGAAAATGACATCAGGACCAGAAAAAAACTATGTAAGGTGATTCAAATAAGATCTACAGAATTACTTCCACTCGTTAGCTAAAAACATGACAATTACCAAGACAGTACTCATTAACAATTATGAAAAATTAGATAATACAGACAAATTGCTACAAGTTTTTCAGGTCTGCTGGTCTTGGTATTCCAACGAAATTCTTTACGCTGTAAATCAGATGATTTTGAACTTCAAAGAAATGACTTCAGCACCGCCTTGTTGACTTCTCAGCATCACATCACCAGGTACAAAAATACCAAGGTATACTAATCTTCTTCAAAATAAACAGGAGAGCAATATCTTGAGTCTCCTCTAAACTAGCAAGGTTAGAGAAGCAGAAAAAATAGGCCTTTATTGGAACCTTTGAGTTCCCACCGTACATATTTCTACACTCATTTTAGCAAATATCTAATTTTCTGGGTTTCAGGAAATCTCTCACAAGTTATCTATCTAAAGTCAGATGATCTACTCTACTCAGTCCTCTCTCTCCAAACATATCAGAAACTCCACTCCTAGAACAGGAGAACACATCAGCCTGGCCACCACCTCACTGCATGCCTCTCTTACTGTCCCAGCAACTGCCAGACATCTTCTTGACTACTGTCTTCACAATCTGGCCTCGGATCTGTTTGCTGGGAAGCTGCATAAGGCCTTTTTTTGAACCCACTGACACTGTCCACCTCACACCAGTTCCAGATGTTTACAATTAACTGTGCAAACGAAGCTCCTTATCCATTGTGGTTTTTTTTCTTCTTATAAGCTTCAGAAAACTATTTGTAAGAGCTCAAACTTTTATTAACTACTAATTTATTACTATATTATTAATTTTGTTATTTATTATTTTTTGTTAACTACCACCTTGACTAGCCAAATTTTGCCCACCTGATATGTAATTTTATAAAGCAAAACACCGGCACATGGAAAGTGTATGACTGTACATGGAGTGCATATGGCAAAGTGGTGGTGGCTGTGGGGCTGAGCTGCAGAGGTAACCACTCTGAGGAGAGATAAGGGCTGCCCCATTGCAGTCAGTCATAGCTAATTCCAGCAGCTTCAACAAATTCACTGCAGGGCAAAGCTGAGCCCAACCTAGCTGGTGGCTCCCTGTGGCAAAACAAATTTAAGAAAGGACAATAAACACGGGACAAAAAGAAAGAGGGAACTAAAAGGATGAGAAACAGTAAAGGGAACCCCAACTGCAGAGAAAAAATGAGGAAGGAGGAACCACAGGGAGAAACCCCTATGTACTGATTATGAATCCCATCCCCCATTTTTTTTGAATGGGTAACATCAAAATGGTAAAGGGATAGGCTTGCAAAAGAATCAGGAGTGAAAGGTAGCAAGGGAAAAGGTTGAGAAAAGGTATTCATGTTAATGTATTTGTTTTGTTTTCTGGTACCTGAATTAGCAATTAAATTACTGCCTATTCTTATAAATATCTAATTTCACCTACGACAAGTCTTAGATTAGTCCATGATGGTAAAACAATCCTTACTTTAACTCTTTTTTCCTGTTCTTATTCCTCCCCCTTTGCTGCTGAAAAGGAAGCAAATGAACAACTGATTGGAAGTTTAGCTGCTGCCACTATTGGCAGCCAAAGAAGAAATGGAATCCCGAACCCTGTCCCTAGATTCACCTTTTCGTATAAAATTATTACACTCTGCTTCTTGAATACATTTTGCAGTTTACACAATTTATTTTTTTGAACCGTAGTATGCATACCTTCAAAAAGCACAGTATTTTTCCCCAATATATACTATAAGAACAGTGTATCAAAATAATAAATATAACACCATCATCTTTCTTTTTAAGTGTTTGGAATTGTTTCAGGATGATTCAATGTAGCAATCAAGAAACCAGTCTCTCTGGCTCTGTATTTTCAGAGAGATGCCACAAACTTAGCTGTTGCACTCCTCTTTGGCCTGTAGAGGAGCTGCTGCTGAAGTAGCTGGACCTGGGATGAGGTAATACCTGGCATTGCCTCACAGAGGCCATCCCTAAAGCTCTCTCATTATGAAAAGTGCCACGTAAACCCAATACAAGAGGTTCTGGCAATAAGGAGTGCTGGAAGTGGCAAACCTGAATATTTAGAG